CCAAAATTTTCCTCTATTGTTGTATCCGATATTTAGGGACAAAGGATCCGTTGAGGTAACCGATATTTTGGGACAAATGGTTCTATTGATGTATTTGATATTTAAGGACAATGGTTCCATCGAGGAAACCAATATTTAGAGGCAAATGGTTCCATTGAGGCAACCAAATTTTCGAGACACTTGGTTCCATCAAGGCAACCAATGATAACTATATTTCGGGACAATGGATCCATCGAGACAACCAATATCTCAAGACAAATGGTCTCCTACAGGCAACCAATATTTTGGAACAAATGGTTCTATCGAGGAATCAAATATTAAGGGACGGACTAGTTCCTTTGAGGCAGCAATATTTCGAGACAAACGACTCTATCGAGGTATCCAATATTTTCCTTCAAGGCAACCTATATATAGGGACAATTGTTCCTTCGAGGCAACCTATACTTACGGACAAATGGTTCCATCGAGGCAACCAACATTGCGAGACAAAAGGTTTTATAGAGGTATCCAATATTTAGGGACAATGGTTCCTTCATAAAAAACCTATATTTCGAGACAAACAATCTTATCGAGGTATCTGATATTTAGGGACAAGGGTTCCGTCAGGCAACATATTTCAGAAAAAAAGGCAACTATTAAAGAACATAATTTTTTAAATGAAAATAATTAAATAAACTAATAATAATTGAAAATAAAAATTAAAGTTGTAAGTTGAAATGTGTATAAATTAAAAATGTTAAACAATGGGAAAAAAAAGTTAATAACGTATACATACAATTATATATAAAATAGAAGGAAAAAAATAATTTATAGCAATCATCAGATTATAAATTTAATTTATAATTACAAAAAAGCTCATATTCCCCTTCAGAAAATTAAAATTTAAAACTCAAATCTTATTTTCTTTTAAAACAAATACAAATTTTCAAAACTTTATGAAAAACCCCCTGAATAAATACTTCAAAACATAGTTAAAAAAATTTTCAATTTGGACTTGAAAAAGGTAGGAAGATATGCTAATAAAACATAAGGCCAAATTACAATAAGAACTAATTTAGTAAAAAATATAAAAAAAAAATATCACAGCCGTACAACAATAAAATAAGACCAATCTGAAAATAATAATTCCCAATCCATGGCATGGCATAACATTATAAAAACATATAAACAGGAGTAACGGTAAAAGAAAATAATAACTACTAATTTGGCAGAAGATTCAATTTGGACTTCAAAAAAAATAGGAAGATGTGCTAATAAAACATAAGGCCAAATTAGGCAGAAAAAATCGAAGCTCAGCGAATGAACAGAGGTTTACCGGAAGTATATTTCAGCCCCCATAACGATCTTGTAAAGGTAAAAAGAAATCTGGTGGAAGCACGCAACAAGATCATTATGCAATGTTAGGCACATTTTGAGACATTTAGCCACCGAGAATCAAATTAAAAAGAAAAAGCTATCAAGAGACTTCTTGGAACTATCATCCTGACAAACAAGCTGCACTTAACCATACCTCATGGGAATAGCGAAGGAGTTGATCATCTAATAGGATCGTGCTAGCTTTAGCAAGAGCTCAATTTAATGCAAATATCTCATGCAAAAACAAGAAATAAAATTTTACCTTCAAGCTCCACATCATGGAACAAACGCCCTTGATATCATCTAGGAATCATTCAGCTCCTCTCCTAATTTAGCTGATGTGTATTATATAGAAACAATAGGTTACCAACCTTTAATAATGTCATTGCAAGAACAAAAAAATATTAGAGAGCAAAAGAGATGAGACAAGAATACATTTGGAAAGTATATTTACTAGTATCAAGGCCTGACTTCAACTTCTATTTCAATAGCTAGAGGTGGCTTTTTGGTTCATCAGTTTATATGACCTCAATCTACACCAATCCTCCCCTGTCCTGAGAACCTGTAAAAAGGAAAAACATTACTTAAATCAAGTGATGCAAAAGCAATTGGGTTCCACAACACATGGAACTACAAATTCTTTGATATGTATATCAAACAAACAAAATCGAATTTAATTGAAAAACAAGAATCCCAAATAAATTAATAAAGATAACCAATCAAAAAATTAATTAAAAGGCCATCACTAGAAATAGAACCCAATCAAAACAACTACAATTCCTAATATCTTCAAACAGTAGAGAATAAGAACAAATTTAGGCGAAAAATTAGTCTAGAATGCAAACGACCAATCTAAAAACAATTTATAATCCATGGCATACCATTTTAAAAGCATATAGACAGGACTAAATAAAAATAAAGTGAAGAAATAATCCAAAACTACCAAAAATAAAAAAAGAAAAACAATAAAACAGAACGACATAGGAAAAAAAAACCACTTCTATGTCGGAAATCTTCAAACAACACATGTTCGTCCATCAATTTTTGCTGGCATTCAGATCATTAAACAATAATTCTCCACTAAAGTCTACAAAATAGTAATGTTCATAAAGTTCAGAATATAAGTTAAAAAGCATTATTCGCTCCAGCAGTCAATCTAATTTGGAACAAAGAACTCGTTAGACAGAAGCCACTAAATTGATCAAAATTCAGGAAGAAAACAGAACACCATTATATTCAAGGATGTCAGAATTGGGTCGTGGATAATTACTATTCCCGAAAGAGATGGAGGTACACTTACACTTCGAAAGGAAATCTGAAGAAATATAGAAGTGCTCCGATCTAGAAGGCAAATTGAGTCTATGGGATGGATACGCACCATCTCGCAATCACAACCGATCAAATTTGCCAGATAGTCGGGTCAGAAACCCTAGACAGTCCTCCAGAGCACAAAAGAAGGAGTGAATATAAACACAAAACCAGATACCAGATGGCCAAGAACGCGTCGGCAGAAGATGATGAAATTTCCGTCAAAGGAGGAAATGAAAATATATCAGATATCAGATGGCCAAGAACGTGTAGGCAGAAGCTGATGAAGATTTTGTCGTAAGAGGAAATGAAAATATACCAGATATCAGATGGCCAAGTACGCGTCGGTGGAAGATGATGAAGATTAATACGTGATGGAGAGGTGGCCATGGCGTTTACTACAAATAAAACTTCGTCGAGAACTGGATCCAAATCGCCATGCGCTGGTTAGGGTTTTGTACGAGAGCGTGAATGGAAGTCGTTTTGGACCGGGCCGTTACGTAGAGAGGATATAAGCGCGATTCCAACGGTCGGTCAAAAGGTCAAAGATGATAGCTCATCTCCGTAGGATCACGCAATCTGTAACCGTCCATCAAAGATATTCAGACAAACTTTTTTATAAAGGGGTTAAACATGATATTTGTTAATTATTATTCTTTGTCTTTATAAATGATAAATCAAATGTTTTAATGTATTTCTCGAAAAAAATAAGTTTAGATTCGATCATATCATTTCCTCAAAAAAAAAAAAAGAAAAAAAAACAACGACAAATATATTGAAAACTTTAAATCTATATAGTCATTAATTATTTCTAAAAACACGATAAAAACTATTTCTCAAACAAAATATAGCTTATCAATTATTGACGTTACATAATAAGGATATACATATATATTTTGCATAAAAAGGATAATTATTTATTCGTAGCAATCATTTTCCAGAAAGTACTGGCTTAAGCAAGTACTCAATTTTATACATATATCTCATGCAAAAACAACAAATAAAGTTTTACCTCAAGCTCTACAATGTTAAACAAGAGTCCTTGATGTGTCATCTCGGAATCATTCCATTGACTGACTTATTAGCTCCTTTCCTAATTTAGCTGATGTACATTATATGGAAACAATGGGTTACAACCTTTAATAATTGTCATTGCAAGAACAAAAATGAAAGAGAGGAAGAAATGACAAGAATATATTTGGAAAGTATACGATTTCTATTTCAATAACTAGACATGGCTCTTTGGTTCATCAATTTATATGACCTCAATCTACACTAATCCTGCTCCCGCCGATAACCTTTAAAGAGGAAAAACATTATTCTCGTCAAGTGATGCACTTGATAATGGATTCCCTCTAGAAATTACTATGCAAAATGAGATTCGATGAAAATATAAATTACTCACATTGGAATACTCATATTATGATTAGTTTAAATTTCTTATAATAGACAACACAATTTGATTAAAATTGAAATCAAACAAAGAGAAGAGAATGAAAAAGAAATTCAAACCTCTCCTTTGTCTTTGTTGCCTACAAATTCTATGTTTCTAGCACAACTTGAAACAGATTTCCTTCACCAGGACTGCCACCAAGTAGAATAAATTAACTTTTCTTTCTTCTTTCACATGTAAATATAGAAACCAAGAAGTACAATTAAAAGGAAGAAGAGAAGGAAACAAAAGAAACAAAGAATCTTCACTTACAAAACATTTCTTGGAGCTTGGACACTGTCAACATCTTCAACCATAAACATCTGTCCACAAACGTTGCCTCGTTTTCTCATGGTAATCTCCACATCGTTGTAGTGAGAATTCACAAGAGGGGAATAAAATCGCCCTATTAAAAATTGCCCCGATCGGAAACCTATACGAATTAAGAACTTAAAAAGAAAATGGATAAGAATTCTAAGAACTTAAAAATTGCCCAGATCAAGAGTGTGTGTTGTGACAATTAGCCCTCATTGAGAAGTAAATCCCAACTGCCAAGAATGTGCCAGTAGCCTACATGTATGAACGAACTCCAGCCTCCGTTCATGAAGTCGTCAGCTTATAACACGAAGAACAAAATTCTTTTGATATATATATATATATATATCAAACAATTAAAAACGAACTTTATTGAAAAAACAAGAATTCCAAATACAATAATAAAGATAGCCCAATCTAAAATCTAAAAACAAAATAAAAAAGTAACACTAAAAATAGAAGAACCCTCCCCCACCCCCACTTCTTGTGCTCCAAAAAAAAACCCCAACAGAAACAATAACAGTTCCTAAGATTAAGAACTTCAAACATTAGAGAATAACAACAAATTAAGGGAAAAAAATTTAGTCTAATACTACAATATGACCAATCTAAAAACAATTTATAATCCTAATACAAAAACAACACATCCTTGAAGCTTCAAATAAGAGAGAACAAAAGCAAATTTAGGAAACGTATAGATCAAGCAAAAAACAGTATCATGATCCTAAAAACATACAAATACGAGTAAAGAAAAAAAAATCGAAATTAATTGGAAAAACAAGAATTCTTAAACTCATTGGGTAAAAAACAATAAAAAAGATAAGCAATTTGTGACCCTAAACATCAATTTTAGAAGTATACAAAAGGGTGCAAAAATAAAATAAAATAAGATGGAAAATAGTTGGTGAATACACAAAACAAAATTTTACAAAGGCCAAATCATAACGATTCCTAAAACGTCAAACCAGAAAGAATAAGAACAAATAAAATCTAGGAAAAATAATATGGAATACAGTAATAAAGATAATCCAATCTAAAAGCAATAAAACAAAATTCTACACCGAAGAATTGTATGAAAATGCGAAAATTATAAAGTAGAAGAAAAAATAACAATTCCTAAAAACTTCAAACAAGAGAGAATAGGAACAAATTTAGGGAATAAAAAAACAATAGGCTCGACTGCAATATGACCACCCATAGCATACGACCATCTAAAAGCATATAAAGAAGAAAGAAGAAAATAAAATGGAAATTTGTAATTCAATACAGATCAACCAAGTAAAAATAGAACATAATAGGAAGATAACACTTCAGAATCCATAACGTACCGTTTTAAAAACAGAAAAACAATAGTAAGAGAAAAAGAAACAAAACATTAAAATATTACAACATAATAGAAAAACAAAGATAGGAAAAACTTAGAAAAAATAGTTGCGGCGTACACAACAATAAAAATAGATCAATCAAAAAATAATCTACAATCTATAACATACCATTTCAGAACACATAAACAATATAAGGACAAAAAAGATAAAAGAAAAAACAAAGGAAAGAATTAGGAAAAAAAAACTATATTACCGCATAGAACAATAAAAATAGATCAATTATTCCATGACATACAATTCTAAAAACATATAAACAGAAGAAAAGAAAAAAAGGAAAGCAATAACTACCAAGCCATTTGATCCTTCTAGAAAATCAACGAGATAGCAGAAGTTTCAATTTAGACTCCAAAGAAATAGAAAAAGATATACTGATAAAACACAAGGCTAAAATGCCGCTGAATTTGAAGTATATAGAATGACAAAAAGTAAATGGAATGCAACAATCAAAATAAATCAATAGTATATAAGAAAACAGTTAAAAACTAAATCGGAAGACATTTCACAAACAAGTAAATGGATAGATCGTGTGTAAGTAAACAGGCCTCTCAAAATATTAAAGCAACCATGAAATATAGAAGCATCTAGCATATGGAACACAACAAATCAAATGTTTCAAATTATTGATTATGAGAAGAAAAGCATCAACTACCACAAGACTTGTGAGAAGACAAAGGTAGATATCATTAATAATGAAGACCATTCATTCTATCAAGTTAGGTAAATATAAAATGACAGTGAATATAAACAATTGCCAACTTGAGCAAAGCTGAGCAAAGCTAACCGGTTAAGGCATATTCCAGCATGAGTTATATTTCTCATATATATCCTCACCCCACGTATCGTTGAACTAAAAAATTAACCCATATAGTTGTATTTCTTAAAAAGAAATTTTGCAGATAATTATGAGCTCAACAAATAACTTTGGTCAATGGTCCCATTGAGGTAACCGATATTTGGGGACAAATGGTTCTATTGATGTATTTGATAGGTAGGGACAATGRTTACATCGAGGCAACTAATATTTTAGGGACAATGGTTTCATCGAGGCAACCAACGATGCCAAATATTTTGGGACAATGATTCCAACAAGACACCAATATTTCAAGACAAATGGTCTCATATAGGCAACCAATATTTTGGGACAAAGGGTTCTATCGAGGTATCAAATATTAAGGGACGATAGTTCTTTTGAGGCAACCTATATTTCGGGACAAATGGTTCTATCGGGATAACTGATATTTAAGGACAATGGTTCCTTCAAGTAAACCTATATTTAAGGACAATGGTTGGTTCCTTCGAGGCAACCATACTCCCCCTTCCATTTACTGCTTGCCACATCACCAATGTATTAAAATGTAGTGAGGTCCATTCCTTCAATTTATTGTATAATGAAAGGTAATGTGGTACTCCTGTACCACAAAATTTCCCCCATTGTGGCRTCTGATATTTAGGGACAATGGTTCCAATTGAGGTAACCGATATTTGGGGACAAATGGTTCTATTGATGTATTCGATATTTAAGGACAATGGTTCCATCAAGGAAACCAATATTTCAAGACAAATTGTTCAATTGAGGCAACCAACTTTTCAGGACACTGATTCCATCGACGCAACCCATGATAACCGATATTTCGGGACAATAGTTTCATCGAGACACCAATATTTCAAGACAAATGGTCTCATATAGGCAACCAATATTCTGGGACAAATGGTTATCGAGGTATAAAATACAAAAGGACAAAAGTTCCGTTGAGGTAACCGATATTTTGGGACAAACGATTCTATCAAGTTATCTGATATTTAAAGACCATGGTTCCTTCAAAGCAACCAATATTTTAGGGACAATACTCCCATTGAGGTAACCGATGTTTGAGGACAAATGGTTCTATTGATGTATTCGATATTTAGGGACAATGGTTACATCGAGTAAACCAATATTTCGAGACAGATAGTTCAATTGAGGCAACCAACTTTTCGAGATACCGATTCCATCTAGGCAACCAATGATGCCAGATATTTCGAGACAATGGTTCCATCGAGACACCCAACATACCAAGACAAATGGTCTCATATAGCCAAGCAATATTTTGGGACAAATGGTTCTATCAAGGTATCAAATATTAAGTGACAATAGTTACTTTGATGCAACCTATATTTTGGGACAAATGGTTCTATTGAGGTATCTAATATTCAAGGATAATGATTCCTTCAAGGCAACTTATATTTAGGGACAATATATCCTTCGAAGCAACCATACTCCCTTCCATTTACTGCTTCCCACATCAACAATGTATTAAAAATATTGTGGGGTTCATTCCTTCCATTTATTGTGCAAATGAAAGGTATTATGGCATTCCCGCAGTGCAACAAATTTTCCCCAATTGTGGTATCCGATATTTAGGGACAATTTCCATTAAGGTAACCGATATTTCGGGACAAATGGTTCTGTTGATGTATTCGATATTTAGGGACAAGGGTTCCATCGAGGAAACCAATATTTCGGATGGTTCAATTGAGACAGCCAACTTTTCGAGACGATGGTTCCATCGAGGAAACAGATGATAACTGATATTTCGGGAAAAGGTTCCATCGAGACAACCAATATTTCAAAACAAATGGTCTCATATAGGCAACCAATATTTTGGGACAAATGGTTCTACCAAGGTATCAACAAATATTAAGGGACAATAGTTACTTTGAGGCAACCTATATTCGGGACAAACAGTTCTATCGAGGTATCAGATATTTAAGGAACCAGGACCATGGTTCCTTCAAGGTAAATATAGGACCATTGTTCCTTTGAGGCAACCATACTCCCTTTCATTTACTGTTTGTCACATCACCAATATATATTATAAATGTTCCGGGGTCCATTCCTTTCAATTTATTGTGTAAATGAAAGGTAGTATGGCACTCCCGTAAACAATGGTTCCATCGAGGCAATCAATGATAACCGATATTTCGGGACATAGGTTCCATCCAGACAACCAATATTTTGGGACAAATGGTTCTATCAAGGTATCAAATATTAAGGGACAATAGTTCCTTTGAGGCAACATATATTTCGGGACAAACAGTTCTATCGAGGTATCTGATATTTAAGGACAATGGTTCCTTCAAGGCAACCTATATTTAGGGACAATGGTTCCTTCGAGGCAACCTATATTTAGGGACAATGGTTCCTTCGAGGCAACCATACTCCCTTTCATTTACTACTTGCCATATCACCAATGTATATTAAAAATGTTCTAGGGTCCATTCCTTTCAATTTATTGTGTAAATGAAAGGTAGTATGGTACTCTCGTAGTACCCAAAATTTTCCTCTATTGTTGTATCCGATATTTAGGGACAAAGGATCTATTGATGTAACCGATATTTTGGGACAAATGGATCTATTGATGTATTTGATATTTAGGGACAATGGTTCCATCGAGGAAACCAATATTTCGAGACAATGGTTCAATTGAGGCAACCAACTTTTTAGGACACATGGTTCCATCGAGGCAACCAATGATAACCTATATTTCGGGACAATGGATCCATCGAGACAACCAATATTTGAAGACAAATGGTCTCCTACAAGCAACCAATATTTTTGGACAATGGTTCTATCGAGGAACCAAATATTAAGGGACAGATAGTAGTTCCTTTGAGGCAACCTATATTTCGGGACAAACAATTATATCGAGGTATCCAATATTTTCCTTCAAGGCAACCTATATTTAGGGACAACGGACAATGGTTCCTTCGAGGCAACCTATACTTATGGATAAATGGTTCCATCGAGGCAATCAACACTGCGAGAGGTATCCAATATTTAGGGACAATGATTCCTTCAGAAAAAACCTATATTTCGGGACAAACAATTTTATCGAGGTATCTGATATTTATGGACAGTGGTTCCTTCAGGCAACATATATTTCATTAACAAAGGATCATGCTAGTCAGGACTAAATAAAAATGTGACCAATCTAAAAACAATTTATAATCCATGGCATACCATTTTAAAAGCATATAGACAGGACTAAATAAAAATAAAGTGAAAAATAATCCAAAACTACCAAATAAAAAAAGCAAAACAATAAAACAGAACGTTATAGGAAAAAAAAACATTTCAATGTCGGAAATCTTCAAACAACACATGCTCGTCCATCAATTTTTTGCTGGCATTCAGATCATTAAACAATAATTCTCCACTGAAGTCTACAAAATAGTAATGTCCATGAAGTTCAGAATATAGAAAGAAAAAAAAATGGTTATGTAGTTAAAAGGCATTATTCGTTCCAGCAGTCAATCTAATTTGGAAAAAAGAACTCCGTAGACAGAACCACTAAATTGATCAAAATTCAGGAAGAAAACAGAACACCATTATATTCAAGGATGTCAGAATTGGGTCGTGGATAATTACTATTCCCGAATGAGATGGAGGTATACTTACACTTCGAAAGGAAATCTGAAGAAATATAAAAGTGCTCCGATCTAGAAGGCAAAGTGAGTCTATGGGATGGATAAATCGCGCACCATCTCGCAGTCACAACCGATCAAATTTGCCAGACAATCGGGTCAGAAACCCTAGATAGTCCTCCAGAGCACGCTCAAAAGAAGGAGTGAATATAAACACAACCAGATACCAGATGACCAAGAACGCGTCGGCAGAAGATGATGAATATTTCATCAACGGAGAAAATGAAAATATATATCAGATATCAGATGGCCAATTACGCGTCGGTGGAAGATGATGAAGATTAATACGTGATGGAGAGGTAGCCATGGCGTTTACTACAAATAAAACTTCATCGAGAACTGGATCCAAATCGCCATGCGCTGGTTAGGGTTTGTACGAGAGCGTGAACGGAAGTCGTTTTGGACCGGGCCCTTACGCAGAGAGGATATTAGCGCGATTCCAACGGTCGGTCAAAATGTCAAAGATGACAGCTCATCTCCGTAGGATCACGCAATCTGTAACCCGTCCGTCAAAGATATTCAAACAAAATCTTTTCTAAAGGGGTTAAACATGATATTTGTTAATTATTATTCTTTGTCCTTATTTTTTTCGAGAAATACATTAAATTTGATTGACTAGCTCGATGATACTTTATTCGAGAATGTGACCAAACTTCCACATTGGCTAGGACAAAGTATCACCGAGCCTCCCATCCCTTTTTATTCTCAAGCACGTTATACTAACCAGACACCACTCCTTTTCACACAAGCATACAGCTATCTAATAGATCAAAACATATATCACACCATAGACAGAACAATTTGATTAAAATTTGAAATCAACAAAGAGAAGAGAAAATGAAAAAGAAATCCAAACCTCTCATTTTGTCTTTGTTGCCTACAAATTCTATATTTCTAGCACACCTCGGCACAGATTTCTTTCACCAGGACTGCCACCAGGTGGAATAAATTAACTTTCTTTCTTCTTTCACATGTTGATAGAGAAAGAAAGCAGTACAATTAAAAGGAAAAAGAGAAGGAAAGGGAGTCTAGGAAGAAGGTAGAATTGATTTAGTACGTACCGATGAATGATTAGTATGGTTCAATTTTCTTTTCCAATTTCTAATGGTTTCCAAGGGAATATCCTCCAGAAAGTCACAATTAAACCTGCAGTGTGTCAGAGAATTTCAAACGGTTAGTTTCTTCTAGTTATTAATAGACAAAAGAAACAAAGAATCTTGACTTACAAAACATTTCTTGGAGCTTGGACACTGTCAACATCTGTCCACAAAAGTTGCCTCGTTTTCTCATGGTAGTCTCCACATCGTTGTAGTGAGAACTCACAAGAGGGTAATAAAATCGCCCTATCAAAAATTGACCCGATGGAAACCTATACGAATTAAGAACTAAAAAGAAAATGCATAAGAAATTCTAAGGTACCGAATCGACAGATCAAGAGTTTGTGTTGTGACGATTAGCCCTCATTGCGAAGCAAAAACCAACTGCCAATAATGTGCCGGTAGCCTACGTGTATGAACTCACTCTAGCCTCTGTTCATGAAGGTGTCGGCCTCGAACACGAAGAACAAAATTCTTTGATAAAATGTAACTTAATTGGAAAAAAAGAATTCCAAATACAATAATAAAGATAACCCAATCTAATAACAAAATAAAAGGCTAACACTAAAAATAGAAGAACCCTATCCCACCCCAACCAACTTGTTGTACTCCAAAAAAAAAAACAGAACCAATAGAAACAATAACAGTTTCTAATGACTAATTTAATCTATACTACAATACGACCAATTTAAAAACAATTTATAATCAAAAGCAAATAAACAGGAGAAAAGTTAATAAAGCAAAAATATAATCGGGAACACATAAAAAAAAATTCTAACAAAAACTACCAAATAAAAAAATAAAACAATAAAACAGAACAAACCATAACATACAATGTAAAATTAGCAGAGAAAAAGGAATGTCTAATCAGTCATCATATTTGGATCTGATATAACTTAATTTCACAATCCCATTTTATTGAGAAGCTATGCACTTGTGATAGGTAGACATGAAAAGCTATGGAGTTGTGTTGGAAGGTTGGTGTATCCAAAACTAA